ACGTACTAATTAAGTATAAGATGGCGATATATATGTGTGTGTGTATGTGTATGCGTGTGTGTGTCTGGGTTGTGAGTGTAGAGTTCAATTATTAGAATCTCAGAATTATTATTTCAACGAATATACATGCAAACAAAGTTTATTAGTTATAGTTTTATGATCTACATATAATTAATAATATTTGAAAGACTTCTATAGAACTAATTTAAGTTTGAAAAACACTTTAAAAACATTTTACAGGTATTTGTAGGTCGGGTAAAACCAAAAAATCGAAAGAAATGTTTTTTAATTTTTTTAAGGCCCTTCCACCACTTTTAAAAATCTGAAAAAATTCATGCGTATTACCTTTGACACAAGAAATACGAAAAAAATTTTGTTGTTGTTACGCCTATGAATGAAAAGAAATAGCGGAAAATTTTGTCACCTTAACAGCTCTGTAGGGCTTAGAAAACCACACATTTTGAAAAAAAAAAACAGATATTTTTGTAGTTCAAAAATTGACCGAGATATCGACGAAAAACAATTTTGGACAAAACAGCGTTTCATATTGCCTCACGTTAGGTTAGGGACCTGAAATTTTGGCTGAGGTCATAACTTTTAATAACAAAAAGATCCCCCTAGTCCGAATCCGGATATCCTCAAGGGCAATTTTGACATGCTTACCCGGCTGGGCTATTTATTAATATTCATAACTTGAAAACAGCCACAGATATACCCAATGCCATCCACACAATTTTTACAGAGGAATAAATTCGGGAGGCATGAATGCTTCTACGAAAAAATATACCGGGCGTGTAAATTAATCACGTACGAAATGAAGAAAGGATTAGGATCACGGATAAGGTGAAACAGGGTGACACTGGCGTGTGAGCGGTTCGGACCCAGCGAGTGTTGCGTGTTTATTTACTACGAAGTTTATCATTTATCGTCTCGTTTGACATCTTCTATGTATCATAGACAATTCGCTTTATTTCGAATATCATTTATTATCAGCCGACCTTCATGTACAGTAGACCGTTTGACGTCTTCCGTCTACCGTATATCGGGTGCCATCTTCTATGTACCCTATACCATATGTTGTCATTAGTATACTGTATACCGTTCGCTGTCTTCCGTATACTGTCTACTGTCTTCCGTAAACCACATACCGTCCGTCGTCTGTCATGTATCGTATCCCGTGCACCTTCTTCCACGTACTACATACCTTGCACCATCTTCCGTGTACCGTCTGCCATCTGCTGTTCATCCTATAACGTCTGGCATCAAACGTGTAGATCGTCTACAGTCCGACGTCTTCGTGCACCGAATATCATTTGTTGTTTTTCATAAATCAAATACCATCCGTTCTCTGCCGCATACTGTATACTGTGCAGCATTTTCCACATACCATATAACATCCGCCGTTTTTCGGATATCGTCCCCTGTCCACCGTCTGCCATTTTCCGTGTACCGTGCGGCGCCTTTCATATGCCATCTAGTGTCCATGGTCTTATATTAACCAAATAGCCTACCTATTTCGTTGTACTGTCTAGTGTAGACCGTCTTTCATGTACAGTCTATTATCCACCGTCTTCCATGCACCGCATATGGTCTGTTGTCTTCATATATCGTATTTCATGCACCGTCTCTGTCTATTTTTTAGTGACTCTCTTCTATTGTTATGTCTTACAACGGTTCTTAACTTTCATTATAAAGCTTCGAAACTTAAGCTTTTGCTCGGATATGCAGTAAACTAATGTCTTACTCTGCAAATTGCAATATAGTAAACAAGACCTACTTAAAACTGTAAATATTGAAAATTTAACGAAATTTTGGAGCTATAAGAACTTCGCAATCGTCGTGGCAGGAAATTCGTAAGAGTTCAAGCCAAAAACTGTATCTCAAATCTCCGTACTACATACGTAAATTTGGTGTAATTATATACATATTTGGTAATTACATCTGTAAACGTACCTAAAATATTTTGTTAAATGCTAAATAACAATTATTTGATCAGAAAAATACTAAACTAGTCTATTTCTGTATTTCTCAGCCTGTTCCACGAGACATCTCAACGATAAGATCTCAGGTATTATAATACTCATTCATTTATCTCGCTACTTCCTCTTTGTCCGTATTTCTGCACAATAGCTAAAATATATGTGTGAAACATAAGTGAGCCTTATCCACTAGATTTTATATTAGAACGCTTTAAATGTTAGGTTTTAACGGTTAGCTAAGGCCCAAGACGTAAAACTGTCATATACGCTGCGCTGTCTGCCTCCTACCGTATACTGTACACCGTCTTCCGCGTATTATACAATACCCGTCGTTTTCCGTATATTTACTACTGTTCGCCATCTTCCGTGTACTAGCTGCCGTCTTCTGCAAACCATATACGGTCAACCGATTTCCGTGTACCGCCAAATGTCCACCGTCTTCCGTCGTGAACCACATACCTTGCATCGTCTTCCGTGTAACAAATGCCGTCTGCTGTTTTCTGTGCTGTCTATCGTATAGCGTATATTGCTTGCACAAAAAAATAATTTTTTCAAATAAAACTTATCAATGTTTATCTTAAAACTAAAATAACTTACGGAAGGGGGGATCATTAAATAGAATTTAGACTTTGGCATTTTATTTTTAAAGTATTCAAAATATTTTTTTTTAAATACCTCATACTTTATAAAAGTCGCTTTTTGTGGCCACGTTCTTTTGCTCACGGGGGCACGGTACAAAAATAGGTTTGATACTAGATGAGAAATAATAGGCTATATGAAAAAATTCATTGAAACCTTTGTGAATTTTTTAGAGTGCATTTCAATTTGAAAATATTTAATATATTTAGAGTTATTTCGGTTTCGATTTTTCATTGCCATGAGTTTTTTCAGAATTTTTATGATAACTTTGATCCAGGAGAAAAAAAATGTTTTTATACATAAAGCCAGAATTATTTCTAGAGGTCTGAAAATTTAAATATCGACGTCTTTTTACATGAACTTTCCATCAATCTATGCCAATTTTCTATAAATAATAAGAATTTATATTTTAGATATGGTGTAGAAATACGGACAAAGAGGACGTAGCGAGATAAATGAATGAGTATTATAATACCTGAGATCTTATCGTTCGAGTATAATTTTTATATTTGTCTGTAAAGTTACCTTAAGTCTAAGGTTATAGCAATACAATATACAGGTTGTCCCATTTTAAAGGAACCACCCCGAAACTTTGGACGGTTGGCGTTGTACAAAAAAATTGTTCAGAAAACAGTTGTTTGGGACAATGGGGGCAACCTTTCTGTGAAATCCGATTTGACCTTGAGATTTATTTTCAAAGTCATTTTTTGAATAGCAACCCATATTTTTGATTCCGGATTCGGAAAGAGCGGAAAATTCTACGTTCAGATAACGTATTATGTGTGGGGTACGGTTAACCCCCCACCCCCCGCTTAAGGTCATGTAGGGGTCAAATTTATGATTTTCTTCATCTATGCACAGGGATGAACGGGCAAAGGTAAGGTTAATTGTAATAACCCAATAACTCCGATACTCAATAACCCCAATAACACAATAACCAAGAAATATTTTGAATAAGGACCCCCATTTTTTATCCCCGATTCGACAAGAGCGGGAAATTCTACGTTTAAATAAAGTATTATGTTCGGGGAGCGGTTCACCCCTCCATACCACCGGGGCAAGGGTGAGGTTAATACAGGCTTAGTATTAGGCTTTGAATACATGAAGTCTACTTTGAAAAACAACCTGAAGTTTAAGCTCAAGGTCACTGTTGTTTGACTCTACAATTTTTTTGGGTTATTGGGGTTATTGAATTATATATATTGGGGTTATCGGGTTATTGGATTATTGGGTTATATTTGGGTTATCGAGTTATTGGGTTATTACAATTAACCTTACTCTTGCCCGAACATCCCTGTGCATAGATGAAGGAAATCATAAATTTGACCCCTACATGACTTTAGGCGGGGGGGAGGGGATTAACCGCACCCCACACATAATACGTTATCTGAACGTAAAATTTTCCGCTCTTTCCAAATCCGGGATAAAAAATGAGGGTCCTTATTCAAAATATCTCTTGGTTATTGGGTTATTGGGGTTATTGGGGTTATCGAGTTATTGGGTTCCTATTCAAAAAATGACTTTGACCTTCAAATGATCTTGAAAATGAATCTCAAGGTCAAATCGGATTTCACAGATATGTTGCCCCCATTGTCCCAAACAACTGTTGTCTCAACAATTTTTTTGTACAACGCCAACCGTCGTTCGGGGTGGTTCCTTTAAAATGGGACACCCTGTATAGCAATAGATATTACATTCAGATTTAGTATCACCTAAATTATATTAATAAAGCATTCTAGTTGCACACATAAAATTACTATATTTTTGTAATAGTATAAAATGACTTCTTTATATGAAAAAGTAAAAATAACTTCTGGATAATAATAAAAATTATAATGAAATATATAACTCAAAAGATCCCTATTTTATAAAATAAGCACATCCCAAATTGAATGAATTTTACTTTGACTTGGTAAGATCTAAAGAACCTCTATTCATATTTAGTCACCAAAAAGATCAGTAAGAATATTATCTTGCATCGTTATACGAATTTTCCTTAATTTTACCTTGAACTAGAATTGATCGAGATAAACAGACTTCTGATTTGTGATTAAAGCATCAAAATACATAAAGATACAAAAGTTAAATAACTTCTTTTATTTTGTAAACCAGTCTAATTTACGCACAATCCCAAATATAATCAAAAATTACAGTTTTCATTTATTACTGTTCTTGTCTATATAGTTTTATCTTATAAAGAAGAAAAAAGGAGAAAAAATACTTGCTATTTTCCTTATTTTATTAATATAGTATCATAAAAATTAAAAAGTAAACGAAATGATAATTTTATAATACTTTATTCTACCAAAACCTATAAGAAGAATAAGTATATCTGAATAAACTTTTTTTCAATAAATATTTATAGTAAGCTCACCTCCTTACCCCTGAGATGCAGAAACAGGAATACTGCCATAATTGTAATAATAACATCTAGTTTGTTCACAAATGAAGTCTTTTACAAGCATACAATCTAAAATATTCCATTTCAAATTTGGCGATTCCATGACTACACAGCCTTCAATAACTCCATTATTAACACTGTAAAATTATACAAATAATTCATATTTGATAAAATCATTAGTAGGATATAAAAAGCTTTCCCGACAATCATTGTTTTTACTAAGACGATTTTTTCACCCTTGAATAATGATGAGTCAGTGACATTTTTTCGAAGTAATTTTCCAAATCAAAGAACTTTATATATATTTTATGAATAAGCCACTTAAAAGAGTGTAATGTTATATGTATTTAGGAATAGTAGTAGATTCCAGATTTAAATGGGAATTATATCATATCAAATATATAATAAAAAAACATGATATATTGTTTATGTTACGTCAAAGTTCATAAACTGAAACGCTTTAATGACAGTCTACTATGCGCTATTGCAGAACTTTGCTACATATAGCATCATTTTTATGAAAAGGAGCGTATAACATAGGATACCTCTTAAGATGCTGTCTTGAGAGGCATTCGAAAAATTTAGAACAGATTAATAGAAATCTTGCATAAATAATAATCGATAAATGTATCACTACCACTTTCTATTAAGGAGCACTTTATATTTAACGTGTTAATAGAGAATTGTAATAATATATTTATAGAATATAATATATTTAAAATTATAACAACGTATAGAATAATTATGCCAACTGTGAATGAAACTGTATTGCTATGATATCACATATCTTTACTAAAATATTTAAAAATTTGATAAAGTATAAAAAGTTATGATATGTACTATAATGTAACGGTCCTATCTATGAGCTAGTTTATTATTTCACTGAATCACTGCAACCCGTTAAACTCATCAATCTGTTTACATCAATTAGCATATTAAACGGCGCCACCTATTATTTGATTGTCTTAGTACAAGAGTCTAATTTTATGACCATGGATTCATATCCATGGTTTCATGACCATATAAGGAGCGTGACGTCATAAACTTATAGATATAGATATAATAGTTTATGTTATTTGAATAAAATGTTAATTAAAAGTAATTTTGATGAAACAAAGCATTTTTTATATAGATTTTAATACATAGATTTAGATTATAATAATTCTAATTGCGTTTAATTATTAAATAATAATGAATTTTAATATGCAAAGATAATTTATTTATTACATTATAAATATTAATTATTAGAAAAATACGAATATTCCAAATTCATAATGAATATCTTAAAAACATGAGTAAGAATTGGTTTCCTGAATAACAGTTTAATTATAACTGTAATTAATAAATAAATAATCAATAATTTATTTAAACATTAAGTTGTATATAGAACGAAAGCGTTAATTTTGCAAATTATAATGATAGCTTTATAATTTAAAAATCTTAAATAATTAATCTAGTAATTACCATCTGTGAAATAGTATAATCTATTATACAAACCGACTCTTAGTTTTAAGTTTTTTGTTTTTTTTTTCTTAATTTTCTTTAAGTGTTTAGTAGTTTTAAAATACCAGACCAGCGAACAGGTTTATCCTCTGCCGGGTTACAAATTTGTAATGTAAAATTGTATAATTATTACTACTTGTTGTAATATTTTGTACTATACTCTGGTTAATAATAATAATAATAATAACATTATAAGATTATAGAAAAAACCGTTACAAATATGAAAATTTGTTATAATTTAAATGTTATTAACTAATTTTAGGATTTATTTGTAGAAATTACTTCTAAAATTAATAAACTATGAAGTTATGTAAAAATTTAATATTGTATTATTGTAAATATTGTAATATTACATTAATTAACTTTATTAGTTAATAACTTTTGACGATACTATTTGTGATAATTGTAAATTATACTAAAACGACCAATAACTAATTTTGTAAAGTTTACACGTTTTAAAACTTTAGTATTAATGTTTATTTACTTGTAAATTTAGAAAATTCATTTCTTAAAATTTGCGAATACTTCTCAGTAGATAAGCAATGTATGTTCTGGGATACAAAGGAGCCGCCCGATGAAGGTGTCACGATAGTGACACCTTTTAATTTATGGTCAGACACCATGCTGAGTGTCTAAAAGGCATTTGATGTTCGTTTGACACCTCCCGCATGCCAGTGGGCCCCTTTGACAGTGCCCCCCCCCACCCACCCTCCCACCTTCAGAGGTTGTTAAGGTAAGATGCTGTAGAAGTCGGTAGGGTGTTTGGTAAACTATATGATGGTCTCTCTCTCTGTCTCTCTCTCTCTCTCGCTCTCCTTCGAAATTAGGGCGCTTATGCTCTTATTCTTATTTTGAAAATACAGTACGCGATTTATGGAAAGCCTATTACAACTCAGACGCTAATAAGGATGATTTTAATAGATGGAAAAATATAATAATTACCGCTTTGAATTCTTTTGAAGAATATATGTTACGGCCTAACTTAAGTAGAGCAATACGACAGAGGTGTCAAACATGCGCTACCCATTTGAATTCAATCGAAATTAATTTAAATAATTCCATAAAAGTCGGAGGAAATGTTAATTCATTACGAGTCATTCCAAACCAAATTGAAGGGGTCGCAGTTATTTGGCGTGAAATAAATTCAGCATTTGAAAAACGTATCATTACTGCATTCATAGCCAATCAAGAACATACAGATATAAAGTCATTCTTAAAAGCAGCAAATAAACTATTACAACTACAAATACCAAAATATCTTTCAATTCATAATGCTCTAAAAATAAATATAAAAATGTCAGCTCAATTTACCGTAATAAATGATAATGTAGAGGACATTCAAGTAAAGTTTTTCAACACCGAAAATGTTTCTATTTATAGAACGATAGATCTTAAATTATGGTTTACAGAAAATGTTGAAGATGTTATACTTAAAAATTTAGAAGAATTTCAAGAAAAAGATTCCGGTTAGACATTAAAAACTATCATCGGTATTACTGTTAATATAAATAAATTTAATCCTTTCAAACATGGCGCATATATTCAACTACCAAAACAAATAGCAGATAAAGAAGCAATTATCAACGTTCAAAATACAGATAATGAATGTTTTAAATGGGCTGTGCTTGCCTGTCTTCATCTAGCTAGATTTCATAGCGAAAGAGTTCAAAATCATATGCCCTTTGCGAATGAAATGAAACTCGATGATATAAACTTTCCTGTTGAGGTAAAGAATATTCCTAAATTTGAAAAATTAAATAGTATTTCAATAAATCTATACATACTATAAAAATACGGTTTTAAATTCGAAGTCTCACCATATTATATATCAACTTTAAAACAAGATAAGCATGTAAATCTTTTGTTACTACAAAGCGATTATATTGATGAGAATGAAACAGAAAAATCTAATAGATCAGATAACAATGATAATTTCAAATTAAAATTCCACTATATATGGATTAAAAACTTATCTGCTCTTGTTAGAAGTCAAGTAACGAAACATACTGTACAAATTTATCTCTGTGAACGCTGTCTCCACTATTTTAATAATAAACAAAAATTGAATATTCATGAGACAGATTGTTTAAAATTAAATAAATATAGAGTTAATCTACCTAATTTTCCACTTCTGAAATTTAATCATTATGATCGAAAAGAAATGGTTCCATTTATTATCTATGCTGATTTAGAGTGCTTATTGAAACCAGTAAATAATGGACGATCCTTCCAAGATCATGAAATCTTCAGTGTGGGGCTTTATATAAAATGTAGTTATGATGATTCCAAATCAGTCTTTAAGATGTATAGAAAAAAACTGAATGAAGAACAATCACCCGCACAATGGATTACACAGGCCGACAAAATTTAAAAAATGGAAAAACCCAGAAACCAGGCAGTACGTTCCCAAAGGTTTTTGGTGCGCTGAAACCGAATCTAACCTCAAAATTGCTCCATCACCCTAGGTTTTCGAGAAATCCTAACCTAAAAGTTCAAAAAACACGATTTTTCACTATATTTCGCGTAGTATTACGTCGTAAGCCAATTTTATTTTAAAAAACGAGTAATGCTATCTCAAAGTACTACTCTTACCCTTCAAAACCCTTTTTTCAGATTTAAAAAATCTTTTTTTTCCATCGAGATATCGTAGATTGAATTTGAGTGATTTAGCGATTTCGTTACAGCACAAAATAGTGGCGAATTTCCGAATAAGGAACTATAGTGTAATTATATGTTTTTTGGGTCACTGAATCAAAATTTAACGTAAGAATGACTCTATAATCTCAATTCCCTTAACCCTAGAGCCCCATAACCTGCGACGCTGTAACCCCTGACCGACATACTCCAAAGTCCTTAACTCTCGAGCCCTTTAACCTGCTGCGGTATAACCCCCGACCCTCACACCCCAATTTCCTTAACCCTCAAGCCTTTAACCTGCGAAGCTATAACCCCCGGCCCTATCGATGGTTAAAGAGATTCGGGTTTGGTGGACGGGGAATACCGCTGGGTCAATGGAACAACGATAGACGTCATTTCTGCGGTAAAAGAAGGTAGATGAATTTGTGTCTGTGATAGGAAAATTCATATCCAACTTACGTATATAAGTAAAATTTACGTTTACATACAAGTGACTATAACTTGCGAAATCGATCAGTTAGGATTTTTAATCTTACATTTTTCTGGTCTACTAACGATGAAGAAAGTATCTACGTTAGCAGATACCAGATTCACTTAGGGCCTACATTTCCTTACTTGAGGATAACCGTGTATGACATTGCTCAAAAACTACAAATTTTTGTGCTTCGTTCTTCATCCGTGTTAGGGATCGTGTTTGAGCGGCAGGCTAACGGATAAGTCACTGGAATTAAATACTTTCTATTATTTCTCATATAACACTGCGTGCAGTACTTTTACTGATCTTTATTATTACTTTGTCTTCTAGAAATTTAGTTATATTTACCCATTTCGTTATTAGAATAAGTTTATAATATTACTTGTGATTTCCAATTAACTTATAAGTTATTGAAGATGTCGGCATGTAGAATTCCATGCAAAGGAAAAATCGATTCCTTTTGTAATATCTGCGGTAAATTTGAGGTAGCTCGACTTCGTCAATCAATCACTGATATCATTA